TTGTGGCCATTTGTTTTGGACACTCGGGTGAAGAGAGGAGCTGAGCTGTCAACTGATCACCACCTGGTAGTGAGTTGGATCAGAAGGCAGGGGAAGATGCCGGACAGACCTGGTTGACCCAAGCATGTAGTGAGGGTTCGCTAGGAACGCATGGCAGAAAAATCCGTCAAAGAGATCTTTAACTCGCACCTCTGGGAGAGCTTTAACCGCATTCCAGCTGAGGAGTTAATTTACTTTTCAGATGGTTCAGCCAAGGTAAGCATGATGTGAGCACAGGTTTGTAGTGATGGGCAGTTTCAAGCTGCAGCTCAAACATGAGTGTTTCCTAAGCTCTGTGTCGGAGTTTGACTTATTTGGCAAAAATCACATGATCAATGACGTCTGAAGTTTCGAAAATCCCCAAGTTATGGCTTTGGTACCTGATTCAAAGCTTTAGGAAGTAAATCTTTGGTCACATTTGTGGCGTTCTGGTGGTGCATTTGCACAAAATATAACAAGCAAGCAACATAGTGAGACATGAAGTCAGCCTGATGTGTGTTGTGTGATAAAGTCAAAGAGGCAGAAAACCTGCAGCACAAGCATCTTTCTTGACTGGTATTGTGTTGTGAATTAGAAAAGATTTATATAAATCTGCGTTTACAAATGTCAAGTCACGAACAAAGGGGCATCGTACCATGCCACATTTTAAACAACTTTATTCATCAAGTTATTTATCAAACAACCATAACTTTATTCTCATACTGCATAACACTGCATTCTTTTAAAATAAAGGCGTCGCACAGAGGATCAATTCTCAACTAAGAGTCGCACAACCTCGGTACAAATCGCACCTGTTAGTCCAAAATATGGAACAAATATGCTAAGTTATCCATATTTCATGAAGATAATACTCTTAAAATACTATGTGTGTAACCATTTTTATTAATATGTCATTTAAAAATATAACATTTAAAATATTTGAGTACAAATGTGTTCTTCTTTAATTGTTTATAACTGCACCTCCAGTAGTTTACTCATCAGTATGAGAGACTGGCTTAAATGTGGAGTATCTGACGAGTCTCACCTGCCTCCTGACCTATCGTCTCATTTCCACACCATGTGATTGGAAAAGAAACTCACTTTGCAGACTTTTTTTAAATTAAGGACCAGTTCTAACTGGTAATAAAATGGTTGCAAAGAGAAGTGCTTCCTCAAATGGTTTATAAATTACCGGTGTAGCATCCGCATCCTGCTCATATGTGAGCTGTGTGTTCAAAGCAAGTGAGTTTATTGAATATCATGTTATTGCCATCTTCTCATGCAAAACAGACGGTTTTCACTTAAAAGTTATTTTTAGAAATGTCCAAAGATACCTGTAACAATTTTCATCAAATAAAAGTTTTTGAACGCAATGTAAAAAGTTTATGTTTTATTAATTCCAGGATATTTCAGTCTAATTCAGTTTATTTCTATAGTGCCAATTCACAACAGAAGTCATCTCAGGGCACTGCAGAGAAACGATCACAGTTATCTTAAAGGCAAATACTTAACAGACCACACAGAAAGGCTTTGGATCCTGTGACGTCACCACAAACATCACAGCTCCCAAACAGGTGAACTCTCAGGCAAGTGGCAAACACAGTAAGCTGAGAACTACTGTAAATATGAACTGCAATGATTCAATGCTCCACAAAGACAACCAAAAAACAACAACAAGTGCAACAATAAAACTTAATGAAATGTAATGAACTCACTTAAACCCAGCCGTTCCATTAAGGGCTTAACGTCAATTAGACAAGAAACCAGCAATATCTTGAAGGAGGAGCAGAATTTTATCAACTGGTCATTCTCTTTTAGAGGTAAGTAACAAAATAAACAGATAAACATTACAGAAAAATGCTAAAATTAGCAAATTCCAGTATATTGATCCAAAGGTCCAACTGTGGGTGCTTGCTGGACTAGTGTCTTTCATCCACACACAGAAAAAGGCTGACCGTACAGTACTGACTCACTCCCAGTTCATATGTATTTTACATAGTCTGAGGAATAAAACAACACTATTTGACTAAAATAAGCAATAAAGCACAGTTATGACAAGAGAAAGATCTCACATTTGCTTCTGCATTTATAGTGGCAACAGTTCCAGCAGGAAAAGGGTGTGCTCACACCCAATTAATCATAAGTAATTACTTAAAAACAACAATCACAGCATGATTTTAGAAAAAAATAAACAATTGCAAAAAATGGCCAAATCTTTCTGCTGTCAAAATACTATTTAAAACATAAAGAAAAATAGCTACCACTTTACAATAAAACTCCCCTTATAGATGGCTAATAAATAGTTTATAGATACGTTATTAATTCCTCTAAAAACAATTTATAAATCATTAATAACTGCTTATTATGCATTAATTAAAGGTGACAGACAAAACCGACCAGTTTCTTGCCAAATAGTGAGCCAAATCTGTTCACGTATATATTTCACCTAGAGTTCTTATATTAAATTATTATATTATAATATTGTATTATTATTATCATATTAAGCATGTCTCAAAGACATAAAAACATGGATGACCCTAAATTTTCTTCTTTTGAACACAGACAAGACTGAGGTTTTAGTTTTTGGACCTGAGCACCTTAGGGATTAATTTTTCAGTCTTTCTCCATCCTTAGATGGCATAATCTGTCCTCCAGCTCTAATGTTAAAAATCTTGGTGTTATTTTTGATCAGGACGTGTCTTTTATCCCCCACATTAAAAACGTTACAAGAACTGCCTTCTTCCACCTGCTTTATATCAATAAAATTAGAAACATCTTATCTAAAAATGATGCAGAAAAATTGGTCCGTGCATTTGTCACGTCTAGACTGGACTATTGCAATGGTTTATTATCTGGGTGTCCAAATACGTCTTTAAAACGTCTTGATTTGATCCAAAATGCTGCTGCCAGAGTCTTAACTGGAGTTACTGGGAGAGCTCATATCTCTCCAGTTTTAGTTTCTCTCCATTGGCTCCCTGTCAAATCCAGAATAGAATTCAAAATCTTACTTTTAACCTACAAAGCTCTCAACAACCTAGCTCCATCTTATATTACAGATCTTTTTGTTCCATGTTTTCCCAACAGAGCACTTCACTCTCAGGCTGCAGGTTTACTCATGGTCCCTAGAGTTTCCAAAAGCAGAATGAGAGGAAGATCTTTCAGTTATCAGGCTCCTCTCTTGTGGAACCAACTTCCAGTTTCTGTCCGTGAGGTGACACATTATCCAGTTTTAAGACTGGGATTAAGACTTTCCTTTTTGATAAATCCTATAGTTAGGGTTGGCTTGTCATGCTGCCATAAACTTAGACTACTGGAGGACAAACTGACCTCATTTCCTTAAATAAAAATTATTTAATTGTTAAAATTTAACAGTTTTCATTTGATACTATTTCTATCTTAACATGTGATTCTTGACCTGCCATTGTGTATCTGTTCCTCCTTCCTGTTCCTCTCAAACCCAGCTGGTCGAAGCAGATGGTCGCTTGTCCCGAGTCGGGTTCTGCTAAAGGTTTCTTCCTCATGAGGGAGTTTTTCTTTCCACTGTCGCCTTCATGTTTGCTCAAGATGAGAGTTCTGTGATGGAGTTAAATTCAAATCAGTCTGCTCCTCAGATAAATAATGTTAAATTATTATTTTTATATATGAATGTTTCTGTTCAGTGCCTGAGATGACTTCTGTTGTGACTTGGTGCTATAGAAATAAACTGAATTGAATTAATTGCATTTAAACATTTCAGACCAAGTTACTACCTTGTCAGCACAATAAGCATTTGTAAACCTCATTTTTTAGGATATAATATTAGTTGTAGATACTTATAATGCAGTGATAAAGTACAATATTATATGATAAAAAAACAGGTTTACAAATGCTTATTGTGTTTACAAGGTAGTAACTTAGTTTGAAATGTTTAATATAACTCTAGATGAAATATATAGGTGAACACTCTAAAAAAGTTAAATCTGGTCCTCTGGACATTCAAAAAAACCCAAAACAAAGCAAATCAACAATAAAATGTAGAAACGTTTCGTCTCTCATCCAAGAGACTTCTTCAGTCTGAGGTGCTGTATTCAGCTCAGTCTCTTAAAAAGCACCTTCTCAGAGTGGATCAACCAGTTTTGCTGCTGACAACCAAAACCAGCTCAAGAAGGACCATCAGCCTAACAATGGATCATTAGCACACTGATGGCTGTTTACTGTTCACAGAGGGCTGAGTGATACTAGCAATCACAGCATTGTAAGAGGGGGACAGTTGAACC